CATTTGTTAGGGTTTAATGTCAAACCATGTTTATTCAAACGATCAAACACTTGACGAAGATGACGGATGTGCTCTTCTTCGCTAGTCGATGCAATAAGGATGTCGTCAAAATAAGGGATGCAAAAATCCAATCCAAATAAAACTTCATGTATAAAACGTTGGAAAGTTTGGCCTGAATTTCGTAAACCAAACGGCATAGCCAAAAATTCAAAAAGACCAAAAGGGGTTGTGACGGCAGTTTTCGGAATGTCTGCAGGGTTAACAGGAATTTGATGATAGGCACGTGCTAAATCAAGTGTTGAGAATATGTTCTTTCCTGAAAACATTTGAGTGCAATCCTGAATATGGGGTACGGGATAGCGATCCGGAATTGTAACGGCATTTAAGCGACGATAATCCCCGCACGGTCGCCAGTCGCCATTAGCCTTACGAACCATGTGCAGGGGGCTTGCCCAAGGACTTTTTGAAGGCTGAATGATGCCTTTTGATAGGAGAAAATCAAACTCTTGACGTGCAGCTTGAAGTAATTCTGGAGATAATCTTCTAGGTTTGGAGAAAATAGGAGGTCCTTTAGTTTCAATGTGATGGAAAATCGTTGACATTGGTGGCCTCTCAAAAGTTTGCGAAGGATTCGTCAAGCTAGGGTAATCGGCAAGAATTTTGTCAAATTTTGAGTTACCCATCAAAATATGAATGCTAGTACTGAGCGGGTTCACATTAGGAAGTCTACCGCAAGAATATAGTTTTGTTTGTTGTCCATCAATTAAACGGTTGTTTTTAACGTCTATGAGTAAGTTGAACTTTGTGAGAAAGTCAACACCTATGATGGGTTGATTGACGTCTGCCAGGATAAAAGGCCAAGTAAATGAGCGACGTAAGTTTAAATTGATGGTCAAAAGTTTGGTGCCATACGTTGCAATTTTAGTGCCGTTAGCGGCAAAGAGTTCCAATGCAGCTGGTATTTTGGCATGCTGACTGTAACTCTTGGGAATGACAGATAAATCGGCTCCGGTGTCAATTAAAAAAGTCAGCTTTGAGGATGAATCGGCCAAAAGAATTCGATTGATGTGGCGGTCGCAACGTTGGCCGGCAAGCGATCGCCGATCTAGTTTTCCGACTGCCGGAAATTGCATGGAGAAAACACATTTTCGTGCCTTGGAACCAAAATTAGTATGGTAGAAACAGATGTTGTTGCACGGTTCTTTATACTGTCGATAGCGTCCACTAGATCTATTACGCCTACTGTTGCGTTTGGAATAGTCTCTTCGTTCACAGGAACGCTCACGGCTGTTTTTGAGGGCTAGCGAAAGTTCATTTACCTGCTTTGTCAGCTCTGCAACTTGCTGTTCAATGGGAGAGGTAGATGCCGTAGCAGCACTATTTATGTGCGGGAGAGTTGTGAGATCTGTAATTTTATCAGCTACAACTGCTAGTTTTGGAAGATCATCACTTAAGGCAGCAAGAATACTTTGTGTATTTTGCGGGAGACGAGATATCCATAGGGATTTCAACAAAGGTTCTCCAACGGTCTCTCCAGCGAGGTTTCGCATACGGCAAAGTAATTGTGATGGGCGTTGATCGCCAAGTTCTAGCCCTTGAAGAAGTGTACGTATCTTTGACTCCTCACTTTCAGAATGCAATTCAATTAAGCGTGTTTTTAGTGTATCATATTTGCCAGTCACAGGTGGTGTAAAAACGATATCACAAACGCTATTGAGAATATCAGATTCGATTGCAGATATCACATGATTGAATTTCGTGGAGTCAACAGTGATTCCGGCGATATCAAACTGGGCCTCTAGTTGTGCAAACCACAAAGTAGGGTTGACCTTCCAAAATGGGGGAGGTTTGACGGAAACACGTGAAATATTAAGATCGTCTGCGATGGGTTGTGGTGGAGCCATGATTCACAAAAACAAATATATATTGCCAATATGACACAAATAAATACACAATAATAATCAGTCACTAATAAGTTCACATACGACACTAGTGCAAAATAAATAAAGTTAATGTAAACATTAACGTGAGAGAAACACTTTTGCAGGTAAGCTATCCGAATATAAGCATAAGTAATACTAAGAATTTGCGTGGCTTACCTCCGAATTATACGAGAAATATTTGCTCAGTCAGCAGCAGATTCAGCACAACACAATTCACTTATAGAAAAAAATATTCCGAAAAAACTTATTTTATGATATGTAACCACGTTGTACGATTTATATGGAGATCACTTCAAAGCACTTTGACGATTTGCATGAGACACATGATAATTCACAAGCACGTTGTTAAGCAGGCACAACTGTTTTTCACACTATATTGCTGATGACACGAAAATAATGATGGATTACGCTAGTAGTTTGCATGAACAGAAGTAATTTTCACTTCATAGCACATTATAATCACAGAACTTGAGGATGCAAGCAGGTTACAGGAGGCACGTGTTCATCAACTTGACGAGTCACCATTTATGGCTGTTGTTGAATGATGCCATTTTTGATTGCACGTTGAATGTTAACAAAATCTGACTCGGTAATATTACCATTTATATTTAATTCTAGGATGATATATATTTTAACATATATTCACTTATACACAATCACATTGCATGTAGTTACAAGATGAGCATTTTTCAGTTCGCAAGTCCGCATGAGTAAAAATCAAGAAAGTCATATTACAGCTACGATAACATCACGGAGGGAAAGAGAGGTGAGTGCGTGCTTCACCGACGGCAGCCAGGAACCAGTTCGAATTTTTCTCCAGAGAGGAAGAGGGAGAAAGCTGCTATCGCCCTCTCTCGGGGCAGCGGACAAATAAATAAGTTCTCCAAATAATTATAGATAAGTTTAATCAAGCCTTCCATAATATGCAGTAATAAAATTTTTACTACAAAATGTATCCTAGCCAGTTAATAATTTATTTATGCAGTAAAAAATGAAAAATACTTGCATTTTGTAATTTGAACATTGACTGAGAGCTACATGCTAAGCCACAATTTCGATACATATTTCTAAAAAGTTTATTATTTTAATTCGTACAATAAATACTAAAAATATTAAATGTGCTATAACTAAATATCAGACTGAGGCTACAAATATCCCAGAACAAATATACTGCAAACATGTTTAGTCTGAGAACTTAGGTCTGTTTAAGCCAGATATTTCTAAAACTGTGAAGTAAAACTGCCACTCTATAGGCAAATTAAAGTTCCTCTGAATTAAGATTACTGTAATAACTATGAATATGATATCAAAGCACACATTGACTTATTTTATTGCACTACGATATGAAAGCACACATTACAAGAAAGAAAGTTACAAGAAAATGTTTATAGATACTTGCAATCAATGCACATAAAAAAAATACTAAAAAGCTATATAATGAACCATGTTTGAGCATCGATGAGTACAGGGAAGCATAACAAAGCAAATGAAAATAGAAAATTTAAATTAAATAAACATTTACAGGTGCAAGACACTTATTTTTACATATATTATCAATATTTTATATTTTATTCAATTATGTGTTATTTCTAATTTAATACTCTTTGCTCAAGCAAACAGCAAACATTATAATATTTTCCGAATACATATCCCGATCTGCTGCTACGGATAATCCCTTAGCAGGGAAAAAGTATCACGCTGTCCTCCTAGAAGTACGTCATCGGATAACAACCATAAGGTGGACTAGAAGAGAAACACGCTAATGTGACAATCAAAATCGTAACAAACAACCTTATATTTAGCGTAGGTATAATGAAACACTCAATCGATTTCGAGGGCAGCTAAAGGTCCCTCCTCATCAGGAGAAAGAAATACATAGAAAGAAGAAAATAGGAATCACAGAAACACGTGGTGCTATCAGCACTGCACGTGGTTATACTAGATTTTTAATCAGAGTTGCACTGGCCGCCTACTTTACTGAGCCAGGCTGTCTGATCAAGCATAAAGAAATATTAGCGAATTTAAAATAGGGAGCGAGGGGCAAATGCACATCAAATAAAAAAAAAAAATTATTTATTTGAAGTTCAGATTTTGAGCGTAATGCACATCAAATAAAAAAAAATTATTTTATGAAGTTCAATTTGAGCGTAATTGCATTGCCCCTCGCTCCCTATTTTAACTTCGTAAATATTCTTTATGCTTGATCAGACAGCCTGGCTCAGTAAAAGTAGCGGCCAGTGCAACTTGATTAAAATCTAGTTATAACCACGTGCAGTGCTGTAAGCACCACGTTTCTGTGATTCCTATTTTCTTCTTTCTATGTATTTCTTTCTCCTGATGAGGAGGGACCTTTAGCTGCCCTCGAAATCGATTGAGTGTTTCATTATACCTACGCTAAATATAAGGTTGTTTGTTACGATTTTGATTAACCATAAGGTGGTCTACCATAATAAGCTGTTTCTCCCCGTTTTGGCGTTAAGGCTGTTCTCCGAACCTTATCCCATAAAATGCCCTAGATAGGCGGCAATAAAAATCACAAAGATCCTCTATTCTTAACTCTTTAAATTTGGCTATTCCGATGTACAGGGGGCATTACATAGCATACGCAATATCCCTTTTGGGCAGCTTGTAACTGCCTTCTCAACTTTGCACGAGATGCCCAAACGAGGGCATAACTAAGAATTGGACGCACATCGTTTTGTAAATGAGCAACTTATTATCAATAGATAGAACACTGTTTCCAGCAATTAAGGGGAAGAGTGAAGCTTTACTAGCTCGAAACTTCCTGAAAATATGTGTAAAGTGTGGGTTCCATGTAAGAGATTTACTGAGGATCTCCCCAAGATAAGAGACCTGCTGTTAAGTAGATCCTATCGCATTTGTATCCCTACATTTTCATAAGTTGAGAGGAGCAAGAAAAGATCACGTGGCCATTCAACTGGAATACTAATCCATTGAATCTCGACTGGAGAGCTGGTATGCCTAGCTTTTTTGTAATCAAAAAGTTAAAAGGTTGCTACTGGCATTGTATTACTAACCAGTTTGCCGAACGATTCACACTGTTTTCTACTCAAGCTCAAATATCAGCTCATTTAACATAATTTTTAATTTTTGACAATTAAGTACTATTTTCGTTACCGTAAGAAAATAAGCCAGTTGGCAACAGAGTGAAAATATTTAGTAAGAAAACATAACATTGTATCGAAAATCTTGTTTAGGGTTCTATTAGGTAGGAAATTATATTTAGGTAGGAAATGAAGATTGGAATTAGTGTCTATATTACGCGTTTGGCCTTTTTCAGCTGATCTGGTATGCAATTTAAATAAATTACGTCATTGTTTTATGTAAAGATTCATCTATTATATATGAACAATAGGGTGTTTATATTTCTTGAATTTAAGTACTTGTATTTCAGTCATTTTAGTTTTGCGCATGAAAAATTATGCGATTTGAATTGTGAATAGCTGGAAACGTATTGAATAATTTTCGTCATTTGAAGTATGAATTGATATCTTTAAATCACTCGCAGATGTTTATATTTCAGGAGCGTATTAAAATGTGCGTGTTAAAAGATCATCTGTTCTCTGACGCAATCCCATTGTGCTGAAGATAGCCTTGTATTTAAGCAGCTTTCGTGCCTAGTATTTAATCAGCAATCGTTATTAATGCGTATTATATTTATATTAGTACTGAAGTATCATTTTCTTGTTTGGGGTACGAATGCAACAGAATTAAACATTTCGAATGATTGTATATAAAATTTAAAGATTTTTATTTGCTAATTTATATTAGTTATTTTATTTGCATTAAGTGTTTTGTAACAAAACTGGAAACCTTTCTTGTTTTGACGTTGAGTTTTTTTTTTAACCAGACAAGCATGATTTTGATTTGTTAAAATATAATTTATTTATGAAGAAAATATAGCTTAGTTTTGTTATAAAGTTTTTATTCGAGATTTATAAATTGGTTCATTTTTCTGAGCTTAGCTGTTGATATGGCTCAGTAGGGAGAGATTTTCTTTTTAAGTAAAATTTTTCTGGGGGCATAACTTTCAGTATTTAGTTGGCAGTTTTGTAATCACTGTCATAATAAGTAATTAAATGTGTAAAAATCGTGTGATTTCAAATTGCATGTATACTATGATTGGCTAATATTTACAATATGGTAACAGGTAGTTTGGCGACATTTTGGTAAGGTGATAAAGGTTACTAGCTAGGACTTTAGCCGTGTACATGGATAAAGTCAAGAGTGTGCGCAATGCCATTTTTGTGCAATTCTGGGATGTTTTTTAAGTGAAAATAGGTCGACATGTACATGGATACTATGTATGTGCAATTCTTAAAAACACGGCAGGCAGTGGGCGATTCTGCACTTTCTTCCAATTTCGCACCTAATCTTTATCATTATTAAGCATTTTGTTCCATAAAGTTTTAGCATAGCGTAATTCGGCTAGCAGATTGTTAGAAGAAATGTTGAGTAAAAAAAAAGAAACATGCCTTTACTTCGTGAAAACAAAATGGCGTCCAAAAAAACAAAAAACTAGCAGGTTACTCTAGCAGGGTTGGTCGCCAAATTTTCGCCTAAAGATCGCTGAGTTACCATAATCCAAAGATTAACACTACGATTTTATTTTAAAAACGAGTTCTGGAAAAACAACGGGAAATATAACTCATTCCAAACATTTTTCAGTGAATATGCAAAACATAGATTGTAATTTAAAATGGTATATTTTTGATATTTCAGTTGAAGTAAATTAATTAAATTTCAAAATTAGATTGAAAATTCAGTTTTCTTCCTATTGCCTAATCATTAAAGCAGACTGAAATATAACCAATATTTTTATTTTGCTCCTAATATCAGGCATGTATTAGGCTATGCACAAGATTTTTTATGATTTTAGTTTAATTTCAAAATGAAACTTTAGCATTAATTTTTCATTTTTAAAATGCTAAAGCACAGTTCACTTCTATCAGAATTAAAAAAAAGTAACACCTAAATTGTATGTTTCTCCCTCCTCCCAGTAGAACAAAAGATGTGTAATGATTTCTTCTGGTGACATTAATTACTTAGTATGTTTGGAGGATCTTGTCCAGATCTTAATTGTAAAAGAATGTGAATGTTATTGCAGAATCACTGAAAATGTATTAATAAGCTCTGTATCATATTATTGCAGTATTTTGTTTTGATTGCTGCTTTTGATATTGCAGAGTTGGAACATTTGGTAGGTTCTTGTCTCTGATCTTATCTCTGCATTAGTGTGCCAATTTTCCGTACATTGTCAATGCAGTGGGGCACCAGTACACCCCAATACATAAATAAGCATAAAATGTAAGAAATTAAATGATTTTTTTCCTCCCTCTCTTTTGTACTTGGACAGTGAATCTATGTCAGTTAGTATGAAATACTAAGCTTTACTTTCCCAATCCCCCCCCCCAAGAGAAGGATTTGACATCCTTTCTGTGGTTTCTCTCTATTTCTAATGCCAATCCTCTCAGAAAGTGATATCAGCTTTGTATTTTCAAAAATTTTTTATCTGTAATTATAGAAACATTTAATTACAGTTATTTTCAGCTCTGCAAAAATATCATAACTGGCCATCTATTTCTAAATACATCATATAAGGAGCACATCTGATCAACCGTTGAAATTTGTACTATTATAAAAATTATAATTTCTATCTTTAGAGAATTGTTGTCACTTACCATATCATAAGGCTTGGTTTTAAACAGTATGACAATTTTATCTCAAAGAACAGTTTAAATATAGAAGGAATCTAGTAAAATAAATCACATTTATTCTAAATTACTCAGTTAGTGTAGTGAAGTTCCGCAGCACCTCAGAACAATAAAATTTCTCTTGTAAGTCAAGAACTCTATAGAACAATGACTAGGTATTGGAATTTTGTTAACCATTATATTGCTAGAAAATACATAAGCATTTCCTCAAGAATGTGGTGTTTTCAAGTGAATACAATACAAAAAGTTACGTTGGGGGTACTAAAATATCCTGCCTTACTAATGCAGCATTAATTTCAATACAAATGTAAATTTGTAAATCTTGCAGAATCACATAAAAATATTTTAGTTAGATGCAGTATTATATTGTTATGAAATTCGTATAGTACACTGTTCCTTAAAAGTACACTGCCCTCCAAAAGTTAAGGAATAGCATGCTTTTTGTGTCTAACAAGAAATTTACAACACATGTTCCTCAAACAGTTCTTTAATGACTGTGACATTGAATGTTTCTGAAGTTTAAAACAAACATGAATGACAACAAAAAATTGCCCTCTTGGCAGAGAAATTCAGTCTTGGAGAAACAGTATATTGCACTTTTTTTAGGAAAAATAGGGTGGTAACATTACAAAAAGAGGTTCTAAAAAGGAATGTGTCCACTCCTAGCTGCAATACATTGGTGGCAGCATTGTTCCATGCTGTCAATTAAGTTGTCCATCAGTGAAATGGGAAGCAACGACCAGACGCAGAATAATCTGTTCAAGTTCATCTAATAACCTTGGAGGAGGACTTGAAGCAGCAACCTGTGTCTCAAAGTAGTCCTAAAGATGCTCTATCGGATTCAGGTATGGGGATTGAGCTGGCCATTCCATCCGCTCCGTACCGTGACCCTCGAGATATTTTGCTGCAACCGGAGCTCAGTGTGGTCACACATTGTCATCCATCAGAAGAAATCCAGGACCAATAGCAGTGGCATATGGACGGACATATTGATCAACGATCTCGTCTTGATGTCCCACACTGGTCAAAGTTCCTGGATGGAACACATGCAGGTCAGTGAACTCTGTAACTGTGTCCCTCCCTAATGTGGGATTGGTTGTATATGGTGCGTTGTTCCCTTCAGATCAGCTAAAGAACTGAAACACTCTCCAGTGTGAACCTGGACTCGTCTGCGAAGAGAACAGATGCCCATTGTTGACTGGTTCAGGAGACATGTTCTCTTGCTCAACATAAACATAAAGAGCTAAATAAATAATGGTTTCTCGGTAAAAGTATAGTTTAGAGTACCCCTTGGCGAAACTTGGTGATTTTTGGTGGTACATGGATACCGATTTTGGTTTAATCCTAGTATCCGGTGCACATGGGATTTGGCAACTTTATGATGAGCAATAAAAACGGGACATATACGATGAGTAGTAAACGGGTCATTCAAAGAATATATATAATTAATATATATTATTATTATGTATATACCACATATATTATATATTATGTATATACACACATATATATAGTATATAGCGTTCTTTGGATCATTTTTGGTGTTGGCGATAATTTTCAAAATCGCGTAATTTTTTTCCTCCGCGCCAAGGCTGCAGGATTAGGATCTCCCCCCCCCGATTTTGTGCAGTTCTTTGACTCGTTATTTGGCTTGCGAAGTGGTGATTTTTGTGCCAAAAATCGCCGCTACACAAAGCCAAAATAACAAGACAAACCATTGCACAAACTCGGTATCCGTATACACATCGACTTATTTTCACTTAAAAAAAAAACCCTGAATTGCACAAAAATGGCATTGCGCACTCTTTTAACTTTATCCATGTACACGTCGACCTATCTTCACTTAAAAAAAAAAATCCCACAATTGCACAAACTTGCATTGCCCTTTACTTTGTCCATGTACACATCTATATATTTTCATTTTAAAAGTCAAAGGAGCACCAAATTCCACAATATAGGTAAACAAAAAATACATAGTCTCAATAAAATAACATAAAAAAGGGAAAACATGTTATGCATTTAAGCACTACCAAAAGCAAATATTCACTTAACATGATTTTCAAGTTAGCTTCGTACACCCAGAGCCACGTAAAAATCAAAATATCAATCATACTCAAATGACTTTTCAAACCAGGTACTCTTTCTGACTGAACGCTTCACATAGTGACCATCTGAACCTTTCTTCCTACAAACCCATTCAAATCCATATAAACGGTTTTTATGTTCGACTAGACACATATCCTTCCTACATACAGGACACATAATGGCTACTAAGTAAACCTTCACTTACATACCAGTCAGTTAAAGCTCTTTTGCCCTTTCGCTCCAAATTGCACAGAAACTTCAAATTAATCTTACTACATTTGGCCATCCTACCGTCTAAAGAATAAAACCAACACACACCACAAAAATGCTTACAAAACATCCCATGATTCAAAATTTCCTGTAATCATGTACCTGATTACGTCACAATATGGTTTCCATAACATTCAACTTCTCAGGCTACCACAAATGAAACAACAACTTGGCAATAAATCAAATAACAACACCATAATACAAGGGGTACCTTAAATA